AAGAGCTAGAAAACAAACCAAAAAAAATCCAAAAATACATTTTTTCCACTCTGAATATAAAATACTGAAGCCACTGGAGTAGTAAACCATGGAAACATTCTTGTCATAAAATTCTACTACATTCATTAAGCCCAGAGAGGCTTCCTCTCTGCCACTGAACTCCTACAGTCCTGTGTAAAAGCTTTAAGTGGATATACTGAGAAAGATTTGGGGTCAAGCCTATAAAAACCCATAAAGATTAGACTACATCACATAAGTAAAAAGTACTGCTTGAAGACTGGGACCAGTGTGTGCAGCCAGGCAGGAAATGCACCTGCTAGAGCTCTGCAGAGCTCAATGGGAATGTTGAAAGGAGACACTGGCATTTCTCAGTCTCACTGACAGGGTAGGGAATAAAGAGCATTTTAAAGAACATGAATCACCTTACCACTTCTGGAAGCACCTTCTTCGCAAGATCGTGGATAGCTTTGATCACAATACATACAGATGACAGGAGGAATATGACACCCAAGATAACACAAGCTCTGGGGGGGAAAAAAAGAGAAAAATAAATAGAACTGGTAAGAACATATTTGTAGTTGACAATTCTCCCACTGCTGAGTGGAACACAGTATTAATAATAAAAAATAAGTCTCAAGAAGCTAAAGATAGAGACTTAAATGAAAGAACAGAATGAAATGTCCAGTCCCTCTCCAGCTCTTAAAGCCTGGATTATGTATGAGAACACAGGGCATACCAGATGATGTTTCAGAGACAGAGAAAGACCTGCCACTTCTGCTCCTGATGATTTATCAGAGAGGCCTCTGGAGATCTGTTTATCTTTGTTTGCTTTGCTAGGATCTCCCATTAGAAATAATCAAGGGAACTTCATTCTCTTTACCAAACCAGGACAGATATTTGGCAAATCTAGTCAGTAGCATAACAGAACCTGAAACATCTGTTTCCTCCCTCATTCTCCAAGAAAAACGATTTTAAGTGCAGATATTAAAAAAATTCCAGGAGGTTATGTGCATCACTTTGTAGGATGTCCAAGGGTCTCCCAATACCTAAATAAGGAGTAGTTTCATCACATTAGGTGCTGTGCAGAATTAGACTCTGCTCCTGTTCTGCACAGCTTACAATTCAGTCTTATATAAAAGCAAACAAATGGCTTACTGAAGAGAAGATAGAGTAATAGAGAATATTTTACAGAGTATAATTAAGTTTAGTGTAGGACAGAGGCACAATGAGACTTACAAAGCACATAATGCATAACCAGAACTTCACAGCAAAAAAGGAACTCTTTGCTTTTGTTCAAACATACTGACAGATACTACTCAGATGGTGTCCCTCTTGCTGTGAAATACTACATATAAGGCTTTGATTTCCTCTACACAAACAATAATAACCAGTCTGTTACAGTACTGCTATACCCATCACTCCATTACCAATGGCTCTTCAAATAAAATTGTATTACAACAGAAATACAGTAAGAGAAATTATAGCATTGAAAGCATGAAATAATTAAGAAGTGATATCTACATGTCCTTTTTTTTTCCCTTCAAAAGCTGTAGTTCCTTTGTTTGTTTTTCCTCTGTTGGTACCTGTCTGTTAGCTCAGGTTACTGATGCTATAATTATTCCAGCAGAACACTACTATTTTCAACCACTCAGCCATCAGGGCCATCTGGGCCTTGGCAGCACATGTCATGTTCACAGCAAGCTCAGACTAGAGGCTGCAGTGCAACTGGCATTGCTCTGCCTGGGTCAGAAGATGCAGCAGCAGTGGCACTGTTAACCGGTCATTTTATTCCCCACCACAAGCAACACTAACCAACACTGTGGACAACCCCCAAAATCCTACAGGCAAGTTCTCAGTAAAGAGGCTGCTCCTCTCCAGAGGAGCACAGACAACACAGAGCTGAGCATCCTGCCCAGCCATGGAGTGGTACTGCAGGGGAGGGACTTGTCCCAGGTAGGCAAAGCTCTGCTACATCTATTTTAAGACAGAAGTTTAACTCCTTTGTAGTAACTTGCAACACAACCCTCATTCTTGCTAAAATAACCTGTTGTAAAAAGTAGGCAGAAAAATCTTGACGGAGTCTGATGACCCTAGAGACCTTCCTCTAAGCTAAAACACAGAACAAAAATCTGGCCCATAGTCAGTGACAGAGGAAGAAAGTGACAGGACGGATACTTTGCAATCCTGTGGCAAGAGGTGATCATTAAATGGTGATGCACATGGGAGGAATGTTCATCCACCAAAAAGAAAGAACAAAATTGAAAATTGGAGAGATTTTCATTTTCTATTTCATACTTGTGAGCAGGTTCCTGCTCTGCAACAGATTCTTTTAAGAGGTTTGCAGCTTCACTCCAACTGAATGGGTCACTGCACAGAGACCTGTCCAGAGCCTCTTGATCTATTTTGTTGAACTCAAAACTTTTCAGTACCACCTTTATCCATCACTTCTGTAATATTTAGCACTACACCATCCTTCACAACAGATTCTGTTGTAACAATGACTTCATTTTTTTTTGGATGATGTTCAGAAACATACACTAAAAGTTCTGCTGATTTACCTGGGACAAATGCAAGTCTGAAGTAACTTGACCATGGAACTGGTTCACAGAAGTTGGCTGACCTGCCTAAGGTCATTTGCTGAGCCAGTGACAGGTTGACATAAGATACATATACTTCCTGCAAGAATATGCTGACATTTCATCTGAAGCTACGCTGAAAGACAAGCTTTTCTACCATTCCCAGCAGACTTAAACCAACACAGTCACGAATCCATGAGCTGGAAACTATGGATTACACTTCCTCATGGCAAGATGTATCATTGAGTGCCAAGGGTATGGGAAAGAGGAGACAGCAAAGCCTTAGCATTACCTTTTATTCCCTGCACACATCTGAGGAAGACAGGCAAGCATTCCCCTAAAGGGAATGCCACTGGCTGTATTTGGTTCACATAACCCCAAACTCTTCAATTTATCTCTGTAAACCCTCCAACCACCCAAGCCTAACAGCAACTATTTTGCATCTTTGCCTACACCAGCAGATACGTAACAACTTCAGCAATCTTCATCTGCTTCTCTTATTTGCCAGCTCAGTTTTACTGTGTCAAAAGAATTCCCATACACCTACTTAGCCAGATATAGCCAAAGTAGAAAGAAAAAAAGAAAGATGATAATAACCGTGACAAGGGTATTAATAGCAGACAGAAATGCAGTCCCAGCTTTGAATCAGAATTCAGTCATCATATTTAGCAAGCCTGGCTTCTCCTTTATATGCTGTTTTTTTGAATCCATAGCCATGCAAAATTCATGAGGAATGGCATAGTACTCTAAGTGCAAAAATACATGTTTCTTGTCTTCTTGAGTGTATTGATTTATCTGCAAAACCACTAGAACACAATACTGCAGAATGTCTTCTTTCAATCTCTTCTGTCAGAAAAACTGATTTCTAACTACACTGCAAATCATGCAAAATTTAGCTACAAATGTATGAAATCAAAGACCTCCAAAAGTTAATCTGAGTAACTGCAGTACATAATAAACAAGTTGGTTATTCTAAGCTTGCTCTACCTTCAAGATATTAGACCACATAAATTTTAACACAAGTCTGCTAACTTCCATCTGCTAACAATTACTGCTGTGTAACTAAACAGTATTCCAACTGCACACGAAGGGTGTTAGTGCCAAGGTTGTTGGCAAATGCAATTTCATTAATAACATTCAATTAAATTAGATGAGCCAACTGCCATTTCTAAACAACTTCAAGTCAACTCAGAAGTGCCCATAAAAACTAATTAAGGAGGAGTTACACAGACGTGAGGTTTGATTGATAACCCAGACAAGATTTTAAAGATAGCCCTCACACGTAATTGCCATGGTGTAATAAATGCTCCTCAGGACCCCCATGATCACTATCAGCAATTCAGACACTCTGGACTAACTGGTGCTCCACCTAATGCTGTCATAGTCCAGAACATTGGTATCTTCTTGCTAACACAAGAGGAAAGGTACTTTCTGTCCAGAAACACCCAAGATGAATAGATCTCCAGGAATCCTATGCCACCAGCTACCACTTACACCTCTAGGACCTATTGAATCATGTACTTATTTTACAGCCATTTCTACCTGAGTCAGTGTAAGAACATCCTACTAAATACTTATTAAAACATTAGTTATAACTGATCTACAATGCAAAATAATTGATTACTGCAGGTCTGACAGGCAACAGAAAAGATCTAATGAAGAATGCATGCATCTGAACTCTCCCTCAGTTCCATGTAATATATTGCTTCTAAAAAGAAAGAGGAACAGACAAGGTTCAGACAAAACATATAAAAATATAATGGAAAAGGATTATTTGATTTTTCAAAACCAATGAGCTTTCTGGAGTCTTTCAGAATGCAGTACAGTTTAAAGAATAATAGACTAATTCAGAAAGGACAAGGTGAGGGCATCTCTCTGATATCTGGGGAACAATCAACTCATGTCAACTAAAGCTCAAACTTCCAAAGCTTTTTTCTTAGAGAAAAGGCACTTGGAATGCAAGAATAATTAAAACTACATCATTACAGTGTCAAAATACAGAATTTAGTATTACACATTTAACAGTGAAACCACCAAGTCTTCTTTGGTTTGCTGTAGGTGTTGGTAGCAGATCATGATCTGCCAAATATACTTCTTGATGCATGCAGCATTTTTATCTGAAAATCTAGAAGATGATATAAAGCATAATTCATTGTATTAAGAATGAACTCATCAATTATGTCAACTTTTCAGTATTACTTTGTCAGAGAGGAAACACACTGTTAAATTGGTTGTATTGCAGCCTCAGGCACTGAGAATGAAATTATTTAGACTTTCAAAACTGTCAAAGACTTCACACACTTTTGAGCTTCAGTTACTGCTAGTTAGGTTCTAGTGGAATTCATAAACATGTATAAATCTTAAAAACCAAAGCTTGGTTCTGGCTGTGCTACAATCTGATGATTTCCAGAAGACATTCCTCTGAGAGCAGCAGTACAGCCCACATAAACCCCATTTATGTTTATACAGCCCTATAAACATCCACTCTGTATTACACCAGTCCTGGATATTTGCAATCACACACAGGAAAACAAGATCAGCCTAACTCTATTACAGAACACACAGCTGCCACCTCATCTCTTCCATAACATATTCCCTGGATGGAGCTCTAATAGACACAATTCTTCATTGCCATGACAAATTCTCTCAACTCATAACAAAACCAGAAAATGAAATCAATCACTGTAAGCACTTGATAGTCTTTCCCTCAATCAAAAAATTGTTGCTATGCATATTAATGGCTATTAAGCAAGGAGCTATGAAAAGTACTGAGATTCAAGGGGTTCCATCTTCACAACCTGTCAATTTTCAAGCTGCTATTAGCAAACTAACTTTTAATCACAAAATTAATTTCCTAAGGAGAATAAGTTCAACTATTCAATTCATTTGCATCTAGCAGATGCAGCAAAGCAGCTTCTAACTTATGGATGTAGCCTTAATTCTATCTT